AATAGAAGGAGGGGGATGGAGGGGGGGAGAGAATAGAAGGAGGGGGATGGAGGGGGGGAGAGAATAGAAGCAGGGGGATGGAGGGGGGGGAGAATAGAAGCAGGGGGATGGAGAGGGGGGTGTGAAATATATATATATATATATATATATATATATATATATATATATATATATATTTTTGGCTGCATTGAAATTCCAAAAAGTGAAATAATGGAGATTTGTTAGCCTGACAAAAGGTAGAGTTTTTGTCAATTCCCCGCAGCCATTACCAGCTACAGATGAGGCAAAAGGCATCTCTTCCATTGTTTCATAGACATATGTTTATAATATTGTCCTATTCAACATTGGAATAATTTAGACAGGGGGTGGAGGTGGTCTTTTCAAAATGGTATAGACCCTGCAGGTGACAGTGCTGCTGGGGTTTTTCTTAAAAATAAATTATTTTATTACATATTGTGTGTCTGGCTTTCCTAGAATAGCAAGAGTTAATTTAACTCTTACGCTGCATGTGCGTATGTTTGTTTGTGCGTCTGACTGTATGTGCGCACGTGTGTTTGTGTTTATATGTATGGCAATATGGAGGAAACCCCCAAGATCTCATGTATGGCTTTTTTTTTTCTGCAGGTGCTTACACCTGTATGAGTGTACCTGGAACATCATGGGGTGATGACGCTTGCCTCGACCCAGACGTTCTTCACGGTAAGTGACGTCTGCTGCATTCTCACGCCAGTTATAGCATTTACTGGGGCGAGACAATGAGGATCTGCCACTTCCAAACAGCCACATTATTACTACATTATATGTGGATGGTGTAGAAATATTTGAATAGATGTAGATGAAAGTATAACTTCCTTTTATATCTGCAGAGTAGGTAGGGTTACAGCTGCTACAATATTTGATAATCACTGTGGTCATCAGTAGATTTGTACAGGTATAGAGGCATCAGTGCATTAAAACCTATAAAAGAAATACAACATGTAATGGTGCTTGCAATGTCTCTTTAAATCCCCTAAGTGCCCTGAGAGCTCTACTAGCCGCACTTCCAGACGCTCTCCTATGTAGGAAAGTGTCCCTCTCTGGCCATTTGAACTGTTGGAAACCTATGGAAGTCTGTGAATGAAACGAGGAAAAGCAGAGTATGGTGGTAAATAAGGAGAGGAAAAACATAATGGTGGGGTTAAGTGGCAAGAAATGAGGAGAAACGAAACCAGGGTCAATGGGTTACTCCAAAAATCATAACTACTACAGCTATCTGCTGTGGTTAATGTGCTAGACGTGCCCTGGCACCATTTCCCTGTAATGGGGCAAACCATTCTGGTGTCGTTTGACGTGGGGGGGGGGGGATAGTAGGCCGATATTATTAATCTGTTCCTTTTCTTTCATGAAGGACTAGGTCCTGCATTACACCCATGCAGTGAAAGACAAGATGGAGTACCAGCTCAGTGAACAGGTGAGGTTTAGACAGACATCCATCAGCTGTACTCAAAGGCTTGTTTTATTTCCTTACGGAGGTTAAGAAGACGACTGTGGATTCCCAATTCAGAATGTGTGTGTGTGTGTGTCAATGTGCCTAACACTAGGTGGTGATATTCTGGATATTCCAAGCTAATCAATTCATGTTCTGCTAAAACTCAGACAAACAGAAACTAGCAGATTTGGTCAGAAACAGCCAGTGAACACAGTAAAAGTAATTTAATTTAGAGCAGGTGATAACAAGTCCTTCTAACAATAGAAGGAGATGGTTGTATGCCCTTCAGTTTCCTGATACCTAAGACAGAGGTGTGAGGTTAAAGTGACAGCCTATGTGAAAACAAAACCATTCAGCTTGATTTAGGTTATGTTGGTGCTTAGATCATGCCCTTGCAGCTTCACAGCTCAGTTCTCTGCCAATTCGGACACTGCATTGGTACCTGCATGGTGCCAGGAGTTACCTGGTGCTTTTAAGCATGGTTCGGAGTCAACCAGCTCTCAAACTCTTTGCCACCTTACCTGAGGTTTACCAGTCCCTGCCTCCACTACTAATGCTGGAAGTTCCTAACTAGAAACTTTTTTGTTTGTGCTCCGGAGCCAAGTAGTGCAGGCTTAGTCGCAGGCTTAGTCTGAGTACATCTGCTGATCTGTCTCAGAACCGAAAATATTTGTTCATTTGGAATCTTAAAGGGTCACTATAGGGTCAGGAACACAAATATGTATTCCTGACCCCTGCAAAACCCACCATTAAGGTGGCTTGCCCCCTAAAAGTAATTAAAACTCACCTAATTTCCAGCACTGCGCAGGTCTGCCAGCACTGGCCCCGCCCCCTTGGTGACATAATTAGAATTACAGATTTTTAGCCAATGCAATGCTTTCCCATGGGGAAAGTATTGGATTGGCTAAAATCGGCAAGGGGCGGAACCAAGCACCAGGTTAGCCAATATGCAGCTCTATGAGGAAAATTCAGCGTCCACATGCAGTGCGTGGAGACGCTGAATGGCACTGCTGCCTACTGTGCAGCACTGAGCCAGGAAGCACCTCCAGTGGCCATTTGGAGGTGTCTCTAGGGGCAATGTAAACACTTCCTTGTCTCTGAAAATGCATTAAAATGCCTGAAGGAAATTATTTTACTCACCAGAACAACTACATTAAGCTATAGTTGTTCTGGTGACTATAGTGTCCCTTTAACTTCAGCTGAAATAGAGGCAGTAGAATGCTTACTTTAGGACAACTAATGGCCTTCAGATCAGGCAGCCAGGTTCAGACATTTCAAACTTAAAGGAACACTATAGTCACCAGAACTACAGCTTAATGTCGTTGTTCTGGTGAGTATAATCATTATATGCAGGGAAAAGGCAGTGTTTACATTGCCCCTAGGGACACCTCCAAGTGGCCACTCAGATGGTCCGCCCCTTGCTGATTTTAGGGAGGGTGGGGCCAGCTCCAGCAGACCAGCACAGCGTTGGGGCAAGCCACCTAAATGGTGGGTTTTGCACTATAGGGTCAGGAATACATGTTTGTGTTCATGACCCTATAGTGTTCCTTTAACATTGTCTTCAGCTGGATGAGTAACACTTTTGACCAAATAGAAGGCCACCCCACAGAGCACAGGTCTGCCAAGAGATATACAGAAAATAGATGCTTACTTGTAGGTGTGCATGACAAAATGATACACACAGTGGCTCTATTTAATGCCCTATGAAAGGAGGCATATTCCAGCAGTTGATGGTTTGTACCAATGAAAAAACACCCAAAGCATTTTCTTGTTTAGGAACAATGTGAGTTTGACGAAGTCGCCATTTACTTCTCGGAGGACGAATGGGGCTATTTAACAGAAAATGAGAAGGAGCTTTACATGGAAGTGATGATGGAGAATTACCTGATCCTCAGATCCCTGGGTAAGAACGTATCACAGCTTTATAAGATATTTTACTGTAAATAAATAAAAATCCTCATTATGATTTATTAATAGGATGGATCAACATGATTCCTCCAATAATATCTGTTATCGGACGAGGAGAAGATCCCTATGTGAAGGATCAACAACAGTCTATTAAGATCGAAGAGTTTATAAACACCAGCTGCAGTGAGTAATAAGGAGAATTCATTTATCAGCCCCCCTCCCCGGTCAGCTGTGCTTTGCTCTAATATTGCAATAAGTGGCTAAAAAGAAAACCAGTATGGGGTGAAAACAATCTGGAATACATCTCTCTAATTCTATCTCTCCATGGTAGCATAACGTACAAGAGTCAAGCCATAAACAAGAACAAAAAGACAAATATATCCAACCGTACATTGGTAAAAGGTATAGACAGACAATATAAAGTGCAGAGACCGCAATTAAAAGGACGCTCAAACAACGTTTGCTTGAGTGCTGTATGAGTGTAGAGTGTGCCTTGTCTAAATCACTACTATAATAATGGATGTTTTCCATGGTGACAAATTGATGTTCTCATTTTAGAGCACAATATCTGAACTGGACAGCTGATTTGGTATATTTTGTCATTTCACTGTTGTAGTCTAAAATATGAAATTCATGTTTTAATCCTCAATAATTCACACTGTTGTCAGTAACCCTGATACTTGTACTTCAGGAAGGAAACCTCGCCATACTTTGCACCCAATATTTTCCCAAACTCAAAGATATATGAAACGATATAAAGCTAAGACATATGCGAAGATACCAGCCGTACTCAATATATAGAGAGAAAAAAATTCAGTAATGGCTTTCATGAATATATTAACCCATAAGTTAAGTTCTAAATACAAACTCTGAATGGAATGCCCAGAAATAAAGCCAACACATTGCAGCTCTTGCATCTAGACAGACCTACGATCTCTGAAGGAAAAATGACATATGGATTCTTATATACGCAGTAGCAATGTTTGTACAGGCACACATATAAAAGCTAGTGTGGTTAGGTCCATCTTTGTCTCCACTAAACCGTTCTATTGTATAGACTGCAGTGGTCCCCAACCCAATCTTCATGGACCACCAAAAGTCCACGATTTTTGTATTTCCCTTTTTATATTCAAATGCAAATTCTGACAAAACCTGGACTGCTGGTGGTCCATGAGGACTGGGTTGGAGACCACTTGTATAGAGCATACTATGTTCTTGGGTGGTTGGTTTTTTTTTTTTGTTTGTTTTTTTTTTACTGACTTCAGAGTACTAAATGAACAAACTGTACGAGAAATGGCAACCATGTAGCTAAGTAGCTTGTATCCTTTTTAAGCTGGGAATTTCCATAGACATACAATATTAGTCTCACAATAGCTTAGTAGAACAAGGGGTAGAGTCAACGCTAATCCGAAAGGCAGCAGTCCCAAACAGGGAATCCCTCTAATGTCCCTGGGAATCAGATAATAAAAACAGCAAAGATTGGGGGATGGGTCTGCGCCAGTGTGCACAATAAATAATAATATTAAGTCCAGTGAGATCTATATTGTCGTATCCAAGGATCTACTTCAGCGATATCAAAAAGGTGTTGGTGGTGTGAAGAGTAATCCAAATATGTGAAAAATAGAAGAGATCTTACTTACAATTGGCAGAGCTTAATCCAGCTCTGGTGTGAATGGCTTACAGCGGTATTATCCCCGCTTGCAGGATATACAGCAAGTGTCCTCTTCTTTGTAGTGGCAGGTAACCAAGTTGGAGAATAAAAATAGAGACAGTAATGGTGCAGTATGTTCCACACGTATGTAAAAAATTATAAAATATAGTAGATACACTCACATTCGGTAGAGCTTAGACTAGCTCTAGTTGATTTGGCGTGCAGCGGTATTATCCCCGCTTGTGGGATATAGGATGAGTGATCTTGACTTGAGTCTCAGGAGCTCGGAGAGAAGATAAAACAGCGATAGTGCTCTCAATAAAATTTTGGTAAAATAAATAAGATAATAAAATATACTCACAGTATATAGGGCAGGCTAACTGCTCTGTGTAACAGCGTGGGTGGTATAATCCCCACCTAGGATTCTTGGGAGTATAGTATCCAGGAAATAAAAAACAAGTATAAAAATGGATATAAAACGTGTATATATAAAAAAAAAGGAAAAAGACTATATAAAAGGCCAGGTAATAAGAGACAAAAGATGATGGTTTAAGCATAAAAATAACCAAAATCTTTTTATTGACAATATATAAAACAGTAAAAGTATCCAAACGCGTTTCGCCAGTATGAGGCTTTATCAATGGATAATAAACATTTAAACCTGGCTAGTTAGAGTTTATATAGGAATAAAATTAATTTAAAAATTGGCGCCAAAATTGTACAACCAATGGTAAAGCAGATCTTATATGCATTAACAAAACAGCTTTTAGTGTTACAAATTCAATAGATTTGACTTATATGATGCTTATAATATAATTTGTGAATAAAAACGAGCGTTTTTTAATAACAATATTTGTGTTATAAGCCGGACCACGTGACGCGCGTCATAAGCGCGACGTCACTTCCGGTCGGCGGTATCATGGGGCATGTAGTTTAGAAGTAAGCTACATGTCTCAAAGCTGAATGGGGACCCACATTAGGCTGGGGAGAGGAAGGGGAGGTGAATAGAGGGAGGGCTAGAAGGGGCCATGTGACGCACGTCGAGAGCGCGACGTCACTTCCGGTCGCTCGGATCCCTGGGACTTGTAGTTATAAAGTGAACTACATGTATATAAAGTTAATGAAGCCCTCTATTGGGCTCAGGGAAAGTTGGAAAATAGACTGCATCTATTGAAAATAAACTGCATGTTAATAAAATAAATAAGTATAAACTGCATGTTTGTAAACATAAAATAAATTAAATAAAGCCCTCTATTGGGCTAAGGGAGAGGGGAAAATAATAATCTGAAAATAATATCGGCGGCCATCTTAGGTGGGGAATGTGGTCCATAAGGGTAGCATAATAGGTAGCCATATTGTTGCAGGCAAATTTAAGCACCTTAATTAAATATAAATAGTGAACATTTTATAAAATACTAATACATAAATATTAAACTGTAAAGCATAAAAACACATATAAAAATGCTTAATACATGTTAGAAAAAGGCAAGGTAAAAAAATCACATAATAATAATGAAATAAAAAATTAAAAAGTTAGATAAAATTAAATAAATCAAAATCTGCGTTTAAACCATTTGGGATCAGTGTTTTTAGATTAAAAACCCATTCCATTTCACATTTGCCTAAAATATTTTTAATATTACCTCCTCTCCATGGAATAGTGCATTTTTTTATACCTATACATTTTAAGAGACCAGGATCATTATTATGGATACTAAAATGTTTAGACAGTATGATTCTGGTATCCATTAGTAATATTTCGGCAATGTTCTCCTAATCTTGTTTTGAGATTTCTTGTGGTCGTGCCCACGTATTGGAGCCCACATGGGCATTCTAGGAAATAGATTACATTTTTAGTAGTGCAAGTAATAAAATCTTTAATGTCGTATGTTGTATTGGTTTTGTTAGATTGGAAGTGTGTGGTTTTGGGTTTCGTTGACTCATCTGTGCATTTGCACACTTTGCAGTGTTTACACTTAACCCTTTAATGTTGGGTAAAAAACAGGGTTGTGACTTATTTGTGCTTTCTTTAGTGTAATTGGAGGTTAGAATGCATTCTAACATCCAATTACACTAAAGAATGCATTCTAACATCCAATTACACTAAAGAAAGCACAAATAAGTCACAACCCTGTTTTTTACCCAACATTAAAGGGTTAAGTGTAAACACTGCAAAGTGTGCAAATGCACAGATGAGTCAACGAAACCCAAAACCACACACTTCCAATCTAACAAAACCACGACATTAAAGATTTTATTACTTGCACTACTAAAAATGTAATCTATTTCCTAGAATGCCCATGTGGGCTCCAATACGTGGGCACGACCACAAGAAATCTCAAAACAAGATTAGGAGAACATTGCCGAAATATTACTAATGGATACCAGAATCATACTGTCTAAACATTTTAGTATCCATAATAATGATCCTGGTCTCTTAAAATGTATAGGTATAAAAAAATGCACTATTCCATGGAGAGGAGGTAATATTAAAAATATTTTAGGCAAATGTGAAATGGAATGGGTTTTTAATCTAAAAACACTGATCCCAAATGGTTTAAACGCAGATTTTGATTTATTTAATTTTATCTAACTTTTTAATTTTTTATTTCATTATGATGTGATTTTTTTACCTTGCCTTTTTCTAACATGTATTAAGCATTTTTATATGTGTTTTTATGCTTTACAGTTTAATATTTATGTATTAGTATTTTATAAAATGTTCACTATTTATATTTAATTAAGGTGCTTAAATTTGCCTGCAACAATATGGCTACCTATTATGCTACCCTTATGGACCACATTCCCCACCTAAGATGGCCGCCGATATTATTTTCAGATTATTATTTTTCCCTCTCCCTTAGCCCAATAGAGGGCTTTATTTAATTTATTTTATGTTTACAAACATGCAGTTTATACTTATTTATTTTATTAACATGCAGTTTATTTTCAATAGATGCAGTCTATTTTCCAACTTTCCCTGAGCCCAATAGAGGGCTTCATTAACTTTATATACATGTAGTTCACTTTATAACTACAAGTCCCAGGGATCCGAGCGACCGGAAGTGACGTCGCGCTCTCGACGTGCGTCACATGGCCCCTTCTAGCCCTCCCTCTATTCACCTCCCCTTCCTCTCCCCAGCCTAATGTGGGTCCCCATTCAGCTTTGAGACATGTAGCTTACTTCTAAACTACATGCCCCATGATACCGCCGACCGGAAGTGACGTCGCGCTTATGACGCGCGTCACGTGGTCCGGCTTATAACACAAATATTGTTATTAAACAACGCTCGTTTTTATTCACAAATTATATTATAAGCATCATATAAGTCAAATCTATTGAATTTGTAACACTAAAAGCTGTTTTGTAAATGCATATAAGATCTGCTTTACCATTGGTTGTACAATTTTGGCGCCAATTTTTAAATTAATTTTATTCCTATATAAACTCTAACTAGCCAGGTTTAAATGTTTATTATCCATTGATAAAGCCTCATACTGGCGAAACGCGTTTGGATACTTTTACTGTTTTATATATTGTCAATAAAAAGATTTTGGTTATTTTTATGCTTAAACCATCATCTTTTGTCTCTTATTACCTGGCCTTTTATATAGTCTTTTTCCTTTTTTTTATATATACACGTTTTATATCCATTTTTATACTTGTTTTTTATTTCCTGGATACTATACTCCCAAGAATCCTAGGTGGGGATTATACCACCCACGCTGTTACACAGAGCAGTTAGCCTGCCCTATATACTGTGAGTATATTTTATTATCTTATTTATTTTACCAAAATTTTATTGAGAGCACTATCGCTGTTTTATGTTCTCTCCGAGCTCCTGAGACTCAAGTCAAGATCACTCATCCTATATCCCACAAGCGGGGATAATACCGCTGCACGCCATTCACACTAGAGCTGGATTACGCTCTGCCAATTGTAAGTAAGATCTCTTCTATTTTTCACATATTTGGATTACTCTTCACACCACCAACACCTTTTGGATATCGCTGAAGTAGATCCTTGGATATGACAATATAGATCTCACTGGACTTAATATTATTTATTGTGCACACTGGCGCAGACCCATCCCCCAATCTTTGCTGTTTTTATCACAATAGCTTAGTAACTGAAAATGGTGATAAATCAACTTTGCAGGAAGAAACAACACCCCCATCCCAGACACAGAGAGATTTAAAAAAAAGTAAAAAATCTACTACTAGTAAAAAGACTAAGCAGATTGAAAAAAAAAACACAACATAATGAACTCGATTCAATCGTTATGATTTTGAGTTGAGATATATGCTCAGACTTTCTTTTCCCGTATGGTTCAAGACTCGTTACTAAAAAAAAAAAAAAAAAGTCAATGATGTAGCTCGATCTCTGCAAACCTCCAGTCCCGGCCATTTTAAAACTCCCAAACAGCGGTGTATTGCCGTCGAGTGTCTGGAACCCAAATCGGACACTCGGCTAGGCAAACACCGCTGAGACCGCCACACTGCCCTAAAATTCGTATCAAAACTACCGAACGGCCAACTGTTCAGTAGAAAGACACACCCGAACAAGGGGATTTATGCAAACCCTCCCTAGTCTCCATAGCATAAGCCTTTCGTGCAATTTATTCCCTTCTTCTGTGACCAACCGCAGGGCCAAATCTCATGGAACCAATTTCGGCTGTTCCCTCCAGGGCAGTCGGTCTTTTTACTACATCCACAGATTTCCCAAACCCCTGGTCCGATCTGGGTGATTTTTGGATATGTTTCTAACCCAGATCAGGGCTACCAGGAGGATGTAATATTTAAAGGGGTACCTCTAGGTTTAGAGGTACATCCAGAAAGCCAGGGAGTTTGTGTCCTGGATAAGGGGATTATGAGTCAGGCTTAAGGGGAGGAGATGTGTGGGAGGTTACTCAAGTATGATTGGACACTGTACTAATGACTTTAAATCCCTGAAACGATCGTCTGGGGTTCCTGTGTCTCTCGTGCAGAGGGAACTTGCTGGTGGCACCAGTCTGTTATGCTTCAGAGATGTTCTCTCTGTAATGGCACAAGATGAGCTAAAACCAGCTTGAGATCTGAGCGGGGACCCACCGAAGGGCAGGCTATTTCAGCTGCTGTCCGTTCTGAGAATACTCTTGCACCCCGTTTTTTTGCTCTCCACCTTTACTTATACCTTCATTTAAAGAAAATTATTTCCTTTCAAAACTTGATGAAAGCATTTTGTTAAAAGAATTGGTTTGACGTGGCACTTGTCCTTTAATCACTGTAGGCTGTGATTTTATATATTTATTGTACCTGGACATTAATATTGAGCTTTCATTTTTTTAGAATGCTTCGCTGACAATTGTATACCCACCGAAGCAATGTGCCGTACTATGGAAGACGGTGTGACGAATCTGAATTCTGTACATGATGAAGGCTTCATCTCAAAACCTCACCTTGTTCAAAGATTCTGCTGCTCAGACAGTGAGAAGTGTTCTGCCCATCAAAGGATTTATTTAGATCAGAAATCCGTCTTATGTTCTATATGTGGGAAATGTTTTCATAATAAATCAGATCTTACTCGGCATCAGTCAATTCACACAGAAGTGAAAGTACACTCTTGTGCTGAATGTGGGAAATGCTTTACACGCCCCTCACATCTTCGTGTACATCAGATTATTCACACAGGAGAGAAACCCTTCACATGCCCCGAGTGCGGTAAATGTTATAATTCTAGTACTGGTCTACGGAAACACATGAGTCAAATTCACTCAGGAGACAAAGGGCACTTATGTGTGGAATGTGGAAAATACTTTACTATTTTGGCAGATCTTGTTGAGCATCTGAGGTGTCACACGGGAGTGAAATCATATAATTGTGCTAAGTGTGGAAAGTATTTTGCCAAGAAATATGATCTTAGTCAACATAAAATGACTCACGCGAAAAAGGAACATTTCTTATGTTCTGAGTGTGGAAAATACTTTAGTAATATGCAAAACCTCATTAGACATAAGTGGACTCACACAGGAGAGGAGCCATTTTCGTGTTCGAAATGTGGGAAAAGTTTTACACTTAAGTCGAGTCTTGTTCAACACCAGAGGGTTCATACAAAACTGAAGCCATTTTCTTGCTCTGAATGTGGGAAATGTTTCAGTAATAAAGCAAATTATTCTAAACATCAGATGATTCACAAACTGGTGGAAGTACACTCAACAGGAATGATGAAATTGCATTTACAAGTTCATCCCCAAGATCACCCTGTGTAAGTAGTCCGTGTTGGCTAAACGTTTTACAACTTACCTGGAGTTTGCTGGGTGCAGGTCACTGCCTCCGTTGAGAGACAGAAACTGGATGCTCAGTGCAGAGAGCTTGCGGCTCTCATAGAGGAGGTGACTGGCACCGGTAGACCCCAAGTAAGTCGTCAAATTTTGGCAAACAGTTTGACTACTAACACTTGGTTGCCAGGGCATCCTGACATCTAAACCATTGCAGTGTGCTGTTGTGGTCATGGTGCTTAGAGTGTTTGTTTATTGGAACACTCTAACATTAGGAATACAAACATGTATTCCTAGAGTATTGGATGGGACCCTTCCAGATACAATCATATAAATCTGTTAACTTCCTTTTAGCCACCGGTGTCCCAGTCTTTTCGTAGCCACTGCCCCTCCTCTGGCTCCTTAGTGCTTGTGATCTCAGTCAATCCAATCCTTTCCCATAGGGAAGCATTGTGGGTGGCTAATGTGCATGTGTAGTAATTGCTGTGCTGCTCCAATCAGCATCTCCTCATAGATCTGTCTTTACTCTGCATTTATATGAGGAATGTTTGGTGAGGGGACACAAAAAGTTGATACTGCAAAAATCTTAGAACCGCAACCTGGAAGCCCCTCTAGTGTCTCTCTGACCGCAAGAGGTTGCCTTAGGCAGCAATGTAACCCTTGCCTTTATCGGAAAGCTGCCACAGAAACATTACATTAAGTTGAGTGACCCTTTAACCCCTTAAGGACACATGACATGTGACATGTCATGATTCCCTTTTATTCCAGAAGTTTGGTCCTTAAGGGGTTAAGCATCAGAGGATTAGAGTGAGAAATATTTATAATGATTGTCGTGTGTTTTTTGTGATCAAATCTTGTTACACATCAGATGGAAAAAACATTGCATAAGCCAAATCACTGAACAAACACACTGATTTGAGTTTGGTAAAATGCTCATCATGTAAGACTGGTTCCCAAACCACTCACAGGCCAGGATTTATATTTCCCTTTTCTATTCCAACGGAGATACTGACAAAACGTGGACCGTGGCTGGAGCATGAAGACTGGTTTGGGAACCAATGCTGTGAGGTATGTGAGTACAATATAGGAGAACCATTTGAAAAACAAAACAGCAGGATTATGTATAGAATCCTAAATCTTGCTTTCTGGGAAAATGATATAATAGTAAATATTAAATCATGATGTGTACTTTAAAAAAAAAAAAAAAAAAGACTCCCATGCTGCTGTCCACCATTTAAACTATGGAAAATTAAACCACAAACTCCAATTTTTGCATATTCCATGGTGGCTTTTTCAAACATTCAGATAAAATTATTTGCATTGTATGTGAATATTGCATTTGTATTTTGCAGCTTCTGCAGTGAGCTCTAGCTAGACCAGAATGTAATTCTGCAGTGCTCCGAATATGCCCTACTCTAGAAAGACCATCGCTAAAACAGAAATCCTTAAAACACCTGCTGTGCAGATTTTTATTTTTTAGTTCTGTCTTAACTTTTTTTGTGTCTAGTTACTGTGTTCTCTCCTGTTAGAATAAAGATTTAATATACATTGAAGGATATATTGTGGTGGATTATATGAATTGTGAATACCTATTCACAATGGTTCAAACGGGAGATTGTATAATGCTTGTTAAAACATTAAGAATTCAGACTAGGTCACTAGAGAAAGTGTCTGTCAGGTACTTGATGTTCCCAAAGGAAATGTAAACTTAAATTATCCAGATTAAATCCCATAATCTGCCTGGGTTGCATTTAAGGTTTTATCTCCAGCAAGGTGTAATTGAAATGACATCGATTTTAAACCACTAGTCCGTAAGACTCAATTTAAAGCATGGGTTTTCTACATAAATTAAAATTTTTCATGGTTGTTATCTTAATATTTATTATCAGATGAAGGTTTCGTTTTTAGAATAATGATTTAACATCAGGCCATGCATTTTGCATTAGCCTTACCCATAAGTAGCGGAAGTTCATTGTATTATTCCCATGCTGGGTTTCTCTTATATCCTGCTGCCATTTTATTTTTATGTATTTTTTACTCAAGGAACGGACAGCCACTAGAGGGCTTCCTGGTTTGAAATGGACCCTTGGTTCGTTGTCCGACGCTGGACGTCCTCACACTTTGCATGAGGACCTCCAGCGTCAGATTTTTCCCCATAGGAAAGCATTGATTAATGTGCCTTCCTATGTGGAAATTTTAATGCGAGTGCGGCCATTGTCACGCATGCACATTAGGTCTCCAACTGACGTCTGCAGGGAAGGAATGTGGGCAGAACCTGACCCAGTATCGAGTAGCATGGGCGCTGGATCCAGGTAAGTGACTGAAGGATTTATAATCCCTTCAGCCGCGCGGGAGATGGTGTGTGAGGGAGAGGAGCACTATAGAATCCCTTTAAGGTATTTTTTCTGTACTCTGCAAGCTTATTTTAGTATTTTTTGTCTTATTGCAGCAGTACAGAATAGTCATAGCCTCTATTTGGAAAGGTAACCAGTGTATATGAACTAATGAAATACAAACCCCTCCCACATAGTCACCATAAAAACTGGTACATCTCAGGGGGTGGGGCCTGAACCGCATGGCGGATGTACGTGTTGTGGTAGGGCTCCTGCTACAGATTGAACTTTAAGCCAATATATACCACTCCCATCACCCCAATCAGCCCTTTCTAGTGTCCCAGAACAGAGTCTTGCAGGGCTCACCACAGAGGTTCTTCAGCTATCTTACCCGGAGGTACCTTTGGGGCCTAGTAGACACTAGATGGTCGGGGGAGGTGGCCGATCTCCCAAACCAAGAGATGTGACACCCACTCAGAGGGTTAAGCTGCCCCGTTGTCACCACCCCCTCTCCCCCCCACACTTTGGACCTGCGGGGGTCATCCTGGTTCCCACTGGCCTGTACTCACCACAGCTGTAGGCTGCACGCTCCTCGACCGCAGAAACTCCTGTCAAAATGGTGGATGTGCCATACTCCCAGAGGCCTACTCCTACAGAGTCTGTGCAAGTTTCTCACTGAGCTGTTGAGTGGTCCATGCAGAAATTGGACGCAATCTTCCAGCGATTTTGGGACACCCTGGCTGTGCGACGAACAACAACTGTGATTTTTTTAAAGCAGTCTGTGGGGTGTTGGATAGGGGGAGTCCAGGGCCAATCCAGGCATACCTGTCCCTCAAGCACCAGTTGCACCTAAAGTTCACCCACAAGGGCCATCAGGGGATCAACCCTGAAGCATCGATCACGCAGGCAGAGGATCATGGGCCACCGGTGGCGTTTAAACATCAAGGTCGTCTGTATTCCACACAATGGGGTGGACTTGGACTCTGTGAGCCCCCGAGTCCATGGCTCTGTGATGCAGGCCTCGGTACTGGCCTGGCGCTGGGAGCAAGCTTTGGCTGTCCCCTTCAATGACGCTTCCCAGAGCAAAAGGAGTGTCTACCTTCAGCAACTCAACTGGCCAGCGAGAAGAGCCGTAGCTCACAGCATGAGCTTGTTGCTTGGCGTGGAACTGGCCTGCATGTTAGGTCGGGTTAATCTTGGCTGGAAAACCCTACTACACCACTCGCAACTGCCGCACCAACATTACAAGGACTCTGGCCATACTTTTTCTGACAGGCTATTTCGCTCACCGCTCATGCAGGACTCCTTACTCTTTGATATAACCTCTTGCAAGTTTTAAAGCAGAGATTCCTGTTTTTTTTTCTCCTTTGTGTCCTAACCCAGTGGCATACCCAGCGTTATCATATTACCTTTGTATATACCGTTTTAGCAGCATGTTCTATCAGTTATTTCACTATCACTACCTGTCTAACAGATCTTGTCCCTTTTCACTACCACTACCACCACAGGCATGTAAATGTGGTTTAAGATGTCCTATGTCTCAATACCTCTGAATATTTCTGTTTCTCCTATATAACAAATAGTGCATATCTTCTACATATCAAATATTATAATGTCATTTAACCATCCTGTACAACTATACTGATGTGTTATCGCTTTGATTGTTAACCCTTGCACTACAAAAATAAAAACATTGGTACATCTCAGAACTCTATTTTATGCTTGTTCGCATGCAGGGCTGACCTGTAACTTACCTGATACAGATGATGGTGGCATGGACAGGCCCTCCACAGTAGACTTCAGGCGTGCTGATAAGGATTTAAATTGGAATTCGCTCTCCTGCTTTCATGGCTCTTACTCAGGTAGTAGAATATTAGGAGCAACACGGATCTGAATGCTTTGGGTGGCATTCCGATGCTCATGCTGGAAGTCACTGGCCCAGGAGACAGTGGCAGCACCATTATTAGTCAATGCAGCAGATTGTGTATGAATTCCACTGGTTCCCATACACTCTGCTGTGCATGTACTTCTTGAGAGCCGATGTTCATGCCAAAATGACCATTTCATATACCTGGTAACGTGTTAACAGGGCGCAGTTCAGAGTATCCGTGTGCCACCTGCCTCCACTCCGAAATGATGCCTAAATAATAGTACTCTTTACACTTGGAAGGTTTACATTATGTTATACGCCTCTTGTCTATTGTTTCTGACGTCTAGCCCTACTGACGAAAATAATCCCAGAAAACATGGAGAAACCTCAACAAATATCTAATCACAAACCTAAAGCTACTTAGAAGTCTAGACATCTGGCTGAATGTCAGACCCCTTTTCCAGATGGCGGCACGAAAAGACACTGCCATCAATATTCTAAAGAAATGCTGGACAAATCATTACAAAAGTGTCAGACTTTCTTAGCTGATTTCAGACAAATGTGAAAAATACAGATTAGGGAACAGCGCACCATTTTACAAGGCTACTTAAAATAACCAATCTTAGCAAATAAATATGGAGATTCAGTTCCACCATATGGCCATATAGTGTTAAGCCCACCACAATATTACAGTACCCCAATAGCGGTGGGTCCTACAATACGTTTAATATGGGAGATGAACTTGCTTACTGCAATACCTACTGCTTAAACTGCTTTCAGAGACCACTCAATGCATGCTTTCCTGTGTCACCTCCAAAGGGGCACCCATAGTAGATGGGTGGGGTGAGTGTAGGACCCACCGACATTGGGGTACTGTGATGGACATATGGTGTAAATGAATCCCCATATTTGTAATATATTGTGTTGTCAGCGCTTAGTGAATAATCCCCTTAGATATAATCAGGGGTAAATGTCTTAACAAATGTATCTATAATAATTAGAAACAGCAACAGCATACAGTGTTACCGTGTTTCTCCGAAAATAAGACCGGGTCTTATATTAATTTTAGTCACAAAAAACACACTAGGGCTTATTTTCAGGGTAGGGCTTATTTATTTACGGTACCGGTATGTACACTGAACCCCCCTCTAATTAATCCACCCCCTCTAATTAATCCAGCCCAGCCTTTAATTAATTCACCCCCTCTAATTAATCCAGTCCACCCTTTAATTAATTCACCCCCCTCTAATTAATCCAGCCCACCCTTTAATTAATTCACCACCCCTTTAATTAATTCACCCCTCTAATTAATCCAGTCCACCCTTTAATTAATTCACCACCTCTTTAATTAATTCACCCCCTCTAATTAATCCAGCCCACCCTTTAATTAATTCACCACCCCTTTAATTATTTCACCCCCCTCTAATTAATCCAGCCCACCCTTTAATTAATTCACCCCCCTTTAATTAATTCACCCCCTCTAATTAATCCAGCCCACCCTTTAATTAATTCACCCCCTCTAATTAACCAGCCCACCCTTTAATTAATTCACCCCCTTTAAGTAATTCACCCCCTCTAATTAATCCAGCCCACCCTTTAATTAATTCACCCCCTCTAATTAATCCAGCCCACCCTTTAATTAATTCACCCCCCTTTAATTAATTCACCCCCCTGCCCCCTTTAATTAATTCAGTCCCAGACATAAAATATCTACCGGTACTCACATTTCAAAGTTTCCTTGCCGAGTCCGACCACTGGGAGCCTCACCGCCCGGAAATGGATCCTTCCGCTGAAGATCCGTGAAGGCAGACTGATGGCGCTGCGAAATGACGTCATCACGTTGCGCGATGCCGCGGCCCGCAACGCTCCTCCTACAGTAGAAGAAGGAAGTCTCGCCGCAAAGGTACAATGCCTAGGTCTTATTTTCGGGGTAGGGCTTATATTGCAGCCCACCCCGAAAATCCGACTAGGGCTTATTTTCGGGGTAGGGTTTATTTTCGGGGAAACACGGTAAGAGTGTCAATATAACTGATAGTAACAATCAGATTGTAACAAAAAAAATCTAAATTGTATCTCAGTCCAGTATAAAATATGTAGCGGGGTCCAAAGTGACAGGAGGTCCACAGTGTTGTTTGGGAACACAATCTTTGACTTTGAATCCCTTAAAAAAGACAGAAAATATATATAGTGCAATACTGTATTTAATGTCTTAAAACACCAATGGAATCCCCCTCCCCAACATCGGAACCCTTACAGAAGAAATATGTAGTGCTTATCTCTAAGGACCACAATAAAAGCTTATCTGGCTGCAGTCTTATCTCTCCTCTGCTTCAAGGATAGTCAGGAGTGTTCGCCTTGTGCACTGAGGCTGGCTGTGGATTCAGTAAAAGTTCTCCTCTTTGTAATTCTGCCTCCGGTTAGCATAAAAACTTGTCATGCAGAGTGTTGACAGCAAAACAAGATAAAATGCAGGATGATGGATCACCTAATCAACACGTTTCGCCCCTCTTAGTGGGTTTTTTCAAGATCTCCATATTTGTTTGCTGAGATAGGTGAATTTAAGTAGTCTTTTCTTTTTGTCTTTTAAAGTATTTCATTAAATATAAATATAGACATTTAATAACCTACCCACATGGCAGGTGCCTACTCTGCCCAATTATCGTGGTTACTGTGCTCTCCCTGTACAGCTCTCGCTCACACCCAGCTGTATGACATCATTCTGGCATCATTGTAGGGTGCACGTTTGGTCTGTGCGGGGAGAGGATACACTCCGGCCCTCCCGAAGAAAAGTAGGGAGGCTTGATGGACCTTTAAATATTTAAGTGTTCTTGCATAGCAAGACCACTTAATGTTATCTCACATATATATTATTAAGTGTTCTTGCAAGAACACTTATTGTTATCTCACATATATATTATTATTAAGTGTTCTTGCAAGAACACTTATTGTTAAATCACATATATATTATTATTAAGTGTTCTTGCATAGCAAGACCACTTAATGTTATCTCACATATATATTATTATTATTATTAAGTGTTCTTGCATAGCAAGACCACTTAATGTTATCTCACATATATATTATTATTATTAAGTGTTCTTGCATAGCAAGACCACTTAATGTTATCTCACATATATATTATTATTATTAAGTGTTCTTGCATGG